CCCCAAAACCCCAAAACCCCAAAACCCCAAAACCCCTTATACATACTGTTATGTTGAAAAGTAGAGTTACAATCTTTTACTTTTAATGATTAAATCATCAAGGGCTTATCCTTGGTTCGAGTTTTCTCCAACATCTTCAGAATAGATTTGATTGATACTTTCATATTCTGTGTTTTTAGTATGCTTCAGAAAAAATAAAGGTGTAACCAGTCCAGATACAAGTGTTGCATATGGAAATAAGGTTGAAAAGAAAAATACAACTCCTCTCCAAGTTACTGATAGATCGCTTTGTTCTCGAATCAATTCAAGCATTAGGTTATTATTGATAATTCCATGAATTCCTCGATATAGCCTTCATACTGTCCAGATGGCATTTCATACAATTAGTAAAGCAAAGGCTAACTTGAATTTACTGTTGACCATATTTTCTCCTGAATATAGGAATATGTAAAGAATAAAGAAGAAAAGACTAGCAGCTGCTCCTCAAATAGTTGCTCAAAAAACAATAAAGAAATAGTTCTCTGGGCGCAATGTATTAGCCATTAGTCTGTAAGAAAGGTATGAGACCCCTCCCAAGTAAGCCAAAAATATTCCTAGCAAAGTAAGATTTTTAAGTACTTTAGCAGGGTAACTTGTCGGTACAAGAGGATCCATGATTAGAAGATGAGTATGTCCTTCTTTCATCAATATAAAAGTTAAATAAAATGGGAAAAGATTGAAAACGACCGTTGTGAATTCGAAGATTCCAAATAGCATAATGTGTAACCTCTCGATATTATTCCAGCTCCATGAAGATAGGGATGGTTGCCAAGGAAACTCATGAGCTGATAGCCCTCCAAAGGTGACAATCATTAATAAACTTTGCAAAGTCAATAAAGAGTAAATGATAATTCCTGTAGTTTTAGTCTGCATCTGAGCTTTTCTGATCTTAAAATATCTATATCTAAGTTTTTTATTCTCTTACCAGATGATACTAAGAATAAGAATAACCAAGGAGTAGGCTCAGAAGACCCACAGCAAGAAATGTAAGTTCTTAGGCCACATAATGATTCAATAATTATATATTTTCATGGGGTTTTGGGGTTTTGGGGTTTTGGGGTTTTGGGG